ATAGACAACACACATGACAATACAAACATGCAAGACATAAGAAAATTATGTGTGCGCAAGACAGATATGTATGATCAAGGTGGGGTTGAAGTAATGCAGAAAGTGGATAAACAGACTACGACACTGGTGTCGCCCAAATGACGTCGNGTCATCGGAATGAAAGCCCGTGTGTCAATGTGCTCCGGGCCCATAACGAGTAGGTGCGCGCACACATACAGAGAGAACGAGAAATAACTATTGATTGCCCGTAACAGGCGTGTATGAAACAGAATCTCGGTTCGCGAAAGATGGGCAGCAGAGACAGGACAAGGGAAGGGCCAAATGCAGTAACAGTGTGTGACAGCGGAATAAAGCGCAGGAGGAAAAACAATGTGCGCCGCGTATTGGCCTTTCGTGACCAGTAATCCTTGCAAAAGAAACAAGATCTGAAAACCCGAGGAAAGTGTATGAAAGTCAACGATGGAGGTCGGTTGACCCCAAGTTGAAATCCTTGGATCTCAGTATTGTGAACTCGATGACACACAAAACAGGAACCGATAATCGCTTACACAAACATGGTACATTGTACCAAAGGAATTAGTTATTTTCAACGATTCCTCGGCAGCATTAAGTTAACATTTTACAAAGATCAGTAGAAGCATTGAATATTTTCCTACTTCAATAACATCAATGCACGATGGGCATGAAAACTTCGGGGGAGGGGCTGAATGAAGCTAACGCTCCTCTTACCTAGAACTCCGAAATAGATAAATATGTTTATGTATCATTGTTGTTTACGGAAACCATTGAACAACCGCTTTTCAAAACCAGTGATGAAAACGTAAGAGCGCCTATTGCCAGAAATCATGGTACCTACGCTACACCGGTAATGATAGCAAGGAAGCATGTGGGTACAAACAAGGGACATGTGGAGAAACAAGTTACAGAGAAGCAAAGGAACAACAATAGCAATACAAACTAAGCTGTCTGTTGGATCTGATCTATGTAATCAAGTGGAAATGCGTATAGTTTGATAATAATAAAAACTGCCGTTGTGAAACTCGTGATGACCAAGGTATACCAAAATGAGGCACAAGACGGCAGTGATATTTACATGCTGAAAAAGAGGTATCATTTTTACCCACCCCATCAATTCCACTCTACAGACGTCGTTTGCTGTTTAAAGTCCAAAGTTATTAGTAGCTTTCCTTACTTTTTAATTCGGTTAAATGTAACATACGAGTGGGGGAAGCTGCAGATATAGTAACCTGTTTGTCCAAACCTTATCACTCACGAACAAGAAAAGCATTTAGCATTGAGGGAATTCAAGCTCCAATTATCAGCCCCGCACCTCGGTGTGATGAATCGGTGAAAGCCAATCAGGAAAAAATACACCGTTTAATTAGGATTTGTTTGTGGTGAACTTCCTGTAGCGCCAAAGTAGACGTGAATCCACCGTGGAGTACTACAATAAAGTATGTCATTTAAAGTCGCCTAGGATGAAAGCACAGTTTAAGTGTTTGGCAATATACACACTTCGGAGTACGGAACCGTACGCATTGTCCTGCTTAAGCCATAAGTTTGTTTATGCAATCATTAACCTTGCCCCTTCGGGCGGCAGATTTCGTTTGCTGTACCTTGGTTACTCATTTGGATGAGACAGTGCACGGAATACTGGTACGCTAAGAGCGGTACCAATGTGAAGATAAATGATTCAGGCTGACTAAAAGATTGATAAGATGCACGAGCGCCACCTTTGTTCGACACTCAGTCATATATATATATATATATATATATATATATATATATATATATATATATATATATATATATA